GACACGTAAGTTATCACTTGCATACCAGTAAACTGGACACAGTTAAAAATTTAAGTCATATGTTCTCTGCAGGCTAGGATCATTGTATACTGATAGTGGCCCCCTTAAAGGAAGGCAAGACTGCTGTGTTGGAAAACATACAGAAAATCTTCACTGCTCGTATGCACTCAGCCAAGCACCTGAACTACTGGGCACTCTTCAAGTCCCTTCAACTGTATTCCTTGGAACATAAGATTTTGTTTGGATTTTTAACCCAGAGGGATAGCCACCCAGGATAACACAAAGTCATTGTGTCATTGAGGCCTGTCTGTCTTATTTCCATTGGGGTCCTTCAGTCTTGTCTCCCAGGATACGACCCACACCAGTCGGCTAATGCCCAGGTACCTACTTGCTAGGTGATCAGGGACACCAGGTGTAAGGAAACATGCCCAATGTTTCCACCTGGCTGGGGATTGAACAACAGACGCTCAGTGTGTGATGCGAGAGCATTGCCTACCAGGCGAGAAAGGTACATAATTTATACCTGGAAAATCCTGGAAGGACTGGTTCAAACCAGAACACTACAATCACCGTTGTTATTTTTATTATTGTGGGGGAGCACTAAACGCATAGGGATTATACAGCACCTGTGCATTCAGGCTCAATTCAGGGAACTGGAGCACAGATTCAGTTCCCTAGATCAAGAGTCCCTCACCAGTATCAAAGAACCTCCCTTGAGAGAGAAATCACTCTGTATGACAAGAGACTTGGTAGATTGTGCAAAATACCACCACTAAAAAGCAGGAATGCAGAAATTGCACTAAAAGAGAACTTATCAAGTGTTAAGAGGTCTCCGACTCTTCAGTGTCCTCCCTCTGTTAATATGGGGAACTGCTGACACGCCTCTGATGGTCAACAGGAACCTGGACAGGTTCTTCAAATCAGTGCTGGACTGTATGCAGCCAGAACTAACAGCCTGGTTGATCAGGCTTTGATCCTCCAGGCAGCCTGGTTTTGGACCAGGCTGCAGGGGCATTAACCCCCAGAAATGTCTTTCAAGTAACTTCCTATTAACCATTAAATTGAGGTTTTACTGTACTGGAAACACTTTTTGTCCCTCAAACTCTTTATCTTGGATGTAGATGACAAAGATGCATCGTAGTTTACTCCTGAAAATTCTGGAGAAGTGGTCCCAAATCTGCGCACCAAATTCACTCCCTATGAAAGCAACAGGCTTGGCAAATAATACAAAATACCCACAGTGAAAAGCAGGGGTGCAATGCATATATTAATTAAGGGGTAACTCGGTGTGTGTAAAGGAACCTAGACTTTTCAAAATTCTCCCTTCATGTATAAGGGAAAGTACTGATAGCTGTTTTCAAAAGAGAACTCAGTCTCAATAAGTTTCTCAAGTCAATTCCTGATAAGCCAGCCTGTGGTATATGTGTTGGATTGCATGTATTATTATTATGGGGTGCACTAAACCCGTAGGGATTATGCAGTGCCTGTGAGGGGGGGGGGGAATGGAAGGCATTCAGGCTCGATTCAGGAAACATGAGCACAGTTCCAATTTCCTAGATCAAGAGACCCTCACCAGCATCAAGGAACCTCCCCTGAGGGGTGGATTGCATGCAGCTAGCATGAGCATACTGATTGCTCAGGTTAGCAACTGGGAGGCCCAGGCCTTCCAAAACCAGTTGGTGGAGAAAGGTGACTTGAAATCACACGCAGGTAATCTTCATGTAAACAGAACTTGGAAATGTCTGTAATTGGCAGACCTTTTCAGACTGAAAGTTAAGACACTTGTGCAACATCTGGTTATCTTTATTGTAAACGTTTCGCCATCCAGTGGCTTTATCAATACAAATTCTTGGACATAATTAGAAAACAAGAACTATATACAAAAGATGAGGTAATCAGTCCCTCAGCCTTGGAGGTGGTGTTTACAACACCGTGGTTGTAGAGATTCTGAAGCACAGGTAAGGAGACTGGCGCTTATATAGGCTTATACTTCCACTGGGGAATCCCGCCTACCTGTGACTATGCCCTCGTCTGCTACACGTCTCTCTTCACTGACGCCTATATAAGCGCCAGTCTCCTTACCTGTGCTTCAGAATCTACAACCACGGTGTTGTAAACACCACCTCCAAGGCTGAGGGACTGATTACCTCATCTTTTGTATATAGTTCTTCTGTTTTCTAATTATGTCCAAGAATTTGTATTGATAAAGCCACTGGATGGCGAAACGTTTACAATAAAGATAACCAGATGTTGCACAAGTGTCTTAACTTTCATCTTGTCGGTATTGTATACCTGTCTTGCACAACTTTTCAGACTGATTGAGCATCATGCCTGTATCTCTTGAGTCATCAATCTGTTAATGCTTTCAGGTCTCAGTTGTAAACACATTACTTCTCTAGAACTTATGATATTGGTGATCAGATTCTCTCTTGAAAATTAACTTTAGTTTTTCTTCTTTATCGACAGTTTTCTTGAGAATAGTGAGGGTCAGGTTAGGATGTGTAGGAGGGAGATTATTTTCTAGTAAAAGTAGCCCTTTTACAGGAGGATGTGTGATGTTACTATGGTTAATATATACAGTATATAGGTTGTAAGAGACTGGTTTTAAGGGCAGAACCCTTGAAACCCATCAAGGAAGCTAGGTTTCTTTGTTGATTATCTCCCACAAAGGTTCCTTAATAGTGGTGACTCTTGATCCAAGGAATTGGACTTTGATTTCTATCCTTGGATCATACCTGATTGTCTCCCATTCCCAAGGCACTGTATGAACCCCGACAGGTTTAGTACTTACCCCTAAATGTAATAATTCTTGAGTACCTACTCAACCAGGCTGTTGCTACTAGCGGCCCACAAGCCTAAATAGCCATCACAACTTAGCTGATCAGACATTTGCAGCAGGTGGTAATCCATTAACAGCTTACACCATATCAAACCTTGCTTCCAGATGAAAAGGGAAGAAACATTACCCAAAGCTAGGCGATGAAAGAATTATTATAATCAAGGGGAAGCGCTAAACCCGTAGGATTATACAGCGCCTGGGGGGGGATGTGGAAGGCATTCAGGCTTAATTCGAGGAACTGGAGCACAGATCCAATTCCCTAAATCAAGAGCCCCTCACCAACATCAAGGAACCTTCCCTGAGGGGGGCGATGAAAGAAAATTGAACAGATCCCTTTGCAAATAGAAATAACAACTAAAAGTTCCTCTTAAGACCAGGTGGACCTTTGCCTAAGCCCTTGCAGAGTGGGACACCTACACTGAATTCAGTAACCACCTTCCTAACAAAACTATTAAATAAACATCCATAGTGTGAAAAAATGGAGCTGATATGGTTCCCCTTCCTGTAATGTGCCCAGGTGGCAGAATAAGATGAGGACAAGCATGCCAGAGAGACCAGGGAAATTTGTCACCAATGGACATACAAGAGATATCCACATTCCAAGACTGGCACAGAAGTCCCAGTAATCCTGTCTGCTGGTAGTAGAGTAGAGAGTTGTGAACCACATATATTAGTTTTCTAATTATGTTTATGGTACTTTCTTAGTCTTTTATTTTTTAGTAACACATCGGCCATTTCCCATCAAGGTACAGTGGCCCAAAAAACAAAAACTCACCATCATTCACTCCATCACTGTCTTTCCAGAGGCACGCAACATTAACACCCCTCCTTCAGAGTGCAGGCACTGTACTTCCCATCTCCAGGACTCAAGTCCAGCCTGCCAGTTTCCCTGAATCTCTTCATAAATATTACCCTGCACACACTCCAACAGCACGTAAAGTCCTAAAAACCATTTGTCTCCATTCGCTCATATCAAACACACTCACGCACACTTGCTGGAAGCCCAAGCCCCTCGCACAAAAAACCACCTATACCCCCTCCCACCAACCTTTCCTAGGCCGATCTCTACCCCGCCTTCCCTCCACTACAGATTTATACGCTCTCGAAGTCATTCTAGTTTGTTCCATCCTCTCTACATGTTCGAACCACCTCAACAACCCCTCCTCAGCCCTCTGGATAATTGTTTTGGTAATCCCACACCTCCTCCTAATTTCCAAACTACGAATTCTCTGGATTATATTCACGCCACACATTGCCCTCAGACACTACATCTAAGCTGCCTCCAGCCTTCTCCTTGTTGCAACATTCACCACCCATGCTTCACTCCCATATAAGAGCATTGGTATAACTATACTCTCATACATGCCCCTCTTAGTTTCCACAGACTCCTCAGTGCACCACTTGCCTTTTTTCCCCTCGTCAATTCTATGATTCACCTCATCTTTCAGAGACCCATCTGCTGACATGTTCACTCCTAAACATCTGAATACATTCACCTCCTCCATAATCTCTTCCTCCAACCTGATATCCAGTCTTTCGTTACTTAATTTTTCTATCCTCATCACCTCACTCTTCCCTATATTCACTCTCAGTTTTCTTATTTTACATACCCTACCAGACTCATCCACCAACCTCTGCAACTTCTCTTCAGAATCTCCCAAAAGCACAGTGTCATCAGTAAAGAGCAACTGTGACAACTCCCACTTTGTGTTTCATTCTTTATTTTTTAACTCCACACCTCTTGCCAAGACCCTAAATTAAATTAAAGATACTTAGTGTAGTTTGTTCCTGAATTCCACTATTAATATCATGAAATTGTAATAAATATGAAATGAGCAAGTTATCTTCATCTTCATGCCATTTGCACACCGTTTTTGCCGGTAGAGAAGCAGGTGGTGAACACTAGCTTCTGATTTCATTAACTTATCCCAGCTTGGTGTACTAGTTTGTCAGCCACATAGTCATCACCCATGTAGTTAACCATGATGCAGTGTGTAGACCCTCACAGCCTTAGATTTTTTCAAATGTACAAATAGATGAAGACCCAAAGTTGTGAAGAAGTCAAAAATGTAGGCAGATGGCATATGTGAAGGTACAAAAACTTGTGCATATGGGTATGTTGAGCACAGTTTAAAAATCAAAGGATATTTAAGTGTAAAAGTTATAATGTATATTTTATTTACAATACATTGTGTTGCCATTATATAGAAACATAAGAAATTTTGTAATTCTGATATGTACAAAAGATATGGGAAAAGAAATCATTTTCCTGTTTAATTTACTGATGAACAGCTGACTTGAAATATAGCTTTTAAATCAGAAGTAAAGACTATATTGTGAATATGTTTACACTATAAATTAAATAAAACATCAACACTTATTTCCTGAATACCTTGTTTCAAAACTGAGTTACTGGGTAACAGATTATGAATGAACCTAGCCATGAATTACTTTCTGTACCACATTTGGAGTGTCTTCATCTTCTTGATTTTACGTTGTAGTTGCAGGAGAGAATAAAGAAGAGCTTCAGCTGTTGGTGGGCAACCTGGTACGTACAGGTCTACCGGGATGATACGATCACAGCCTCGCACTACTGAGTAGGAGTAGTGGTAATATCCACCACCATTAGCGCATGACCCCATGGAAATGACCCATCTTGGTTCAGGCATCTGGAAAAAATATATACTGAATTATTATTACACTTATGGGGGAAGCACTAAACCCCCTCAGGGTCATACAGCACCTGGAGGATTGGCAGGTAATCAGGTTTGATGCTAAGAAAGGATAAGTCCAATTCCTTGGCCTTAAAGCACCTCTCATTATAGAAGAAAATCTTTAAGAAACAGCATTTACACAAAAAGCTAATATGGCATTCCAGCTGCAAGACCAGAACTTATGTGGAGAATAAACTAATTACAACTGCTTTTATGGAAAAAGATTCACCAATGTCATTTTATTAGTAGTGAAAAGTACTATGTTCCTTTTTGGGTAACCATGCCTTGGTGGGGAAACAGCAGACGTAAAAAAAAAAAAAGTACTATACAGTAATTTTTGGACAATATTAAGAAATTCTCTATGCATATTTTGTGACTTCAGGTACATGAAACAGAAAAGGGAATGGACAGAGAGAGGCATGGAAGGTGAGAGGAAAAGAGGGACTGATAGCTCTTTTTAATTAACATCATTAGGTACTCTACACACATACCTTTTACCCAACACTTAACTACTTCCAACAGGTACTTAAATTTCTAGCACACAGATCATATGAAGTGGAAGAAAATATTTTCCCAAAAGTAACAGTAACAAAAGTACAAAAGTTGATGAAAAAATTACGGATTTACACTGGTGCAAAGTCAGTGGTCTCTGTGTAATTTATGCACCAGCAATTTCACCCATTTTGAGTTCTATTTTAGGCCAATTTCACTGTCCAAGTCCACTAAATTCTTAGCTAAATCACAAGTATGCCTTTCACTCTAATGATTGAGCACAAGAAACTACCCAATTAAAAATTTCATCTACCCAATAAAGTGATCAGAAATTGGTAATTTGACCAATTTCACACAAAATTAAAAACTGCCAACTTAAAAATCAGGCCCAGAATAAACAATGTCAGCACTCCTAGCACTAAAACAACATTTCCTCTGTTCATTATTTATGTTCCCAGGCCTCTCCTATATTACGCTTGTTTTCCATTTTGAATTTTGAATCCCACAAAAATTAGATTTACTGTTATGCAGACTACTGCATTACTGTAATAAATGTATAAATATTGTCAGTGTATTTGTGAAAACATATTAGACCAGCCAGTTGGACATGTATTAGATGAGTGAAGTGATTAGTGTCCTCTGGAATATTGACAAACTGAATATTACTGCAATTTGAGGTCAATTTCAAGCTACTTCCAGTCCCGAGACCAATCAAAATAATCTCTATTTCTGTAACGTACCTTCCATTCTATCAAACAAAACCAAGAAACTGAGAATAAAACCATAACAATCATCCGAAAATACACTGCTAAGTTGCTATTTTAAGCCATACACATAGTCACAGTTTTGTTTTCCCAATCATGCACTGCACGTGACAGGAATTTTCTTTATATATTGTGCTCACTCACTGCATAGACCCATTCTCTCATATCTAGGCCAAAATTTATCACTCACAGCTTATCTGAGTCAGCTGAACTCATCACAGTTCCATAGCATTGATCCTGAGCTCAAAGCCACAGTACTATGGCACGGACCACAGAAGGGTTAACGCACCAAACATTTCCCACCCAGGTAGGGTGACCTAAAAAAGAGAACAAATTTTCAACATCACTCACGTCATCAGTGTCAGCTCAGATGTCGCTCCAAACTTCAAAATTCTCACCCCTCCTGCAGAGTGCAGGCACTGTACTTCCTATCTCCAGGTTTCAAGTCTGGCTAACCAAGTCCCTCCATAAATATTACCATGTCACACTCCAACAGTATATCTTCATAAAAACCACTAGCTTCAATTCACTCCTATCTAATACTCACACAATGTCCAAGCCCCTAACATACAAAAGCTCCTTTACCTCATCCCTCCATCCTTTCTCAGGATGATCCCAACCCCTCCTTCCCTTCACTACAGATTTATATACCATCCAAGTCATCTTCTTTTGTTCCATCACCTCTAAATATCCAAACCACCTCAGTAACCCCTCCTCAGCACTGAATAATACTCTTAGTAACCACACATTCTCATTTTCAAACTACAAATTCTCTACATAATATTCACACCACATATTGCCCTCAGACATGACATCTGCACTGTCTTCTGCTTCCTCCTCACTGCAACATTTAAAACCCATGCTTCACACCCATAAAAGTGTTGCTACCACTATATTCTGATGCAGTCCCTTTTTCGTGTCCATGGATAATATTCTTTGTTTCAATGCAGCACCAATTTTTACCCCTCATTAATTCTATGGTTCATCTCATTTTTCATAGGCCCATTTTTTTTTTTTTTTTTTTTTAAACAAGTCAGCCGTCTCCCACCGAAGCAGCGTGACCCAAAAAGAAAGAAAATCCCCAAAAAGAAAATACTTTCATCATCATTCAACACCTTCACCTCACACATAATCACTGTTTTTTGCAGAGGTGCTCAGAATACAACAGTTTAGAAGCATATACGATAAAGATACACAACATATCCCTCCAAACTGCCAATATCCCAAACCCCTCCTTTTAAAGTGCAGGCATTGTACTTCCCATTTCCAGGACTCAAGTCCAGTTATATAAAAATAACTGGTTTCCTTGAATCCCTTCACTATTACCCTACTCACACTCCAACAGCTCGTCAGGTCCCAAATTCCATTCGTCTCCATTCATTCCTATCTAACACACTCATGCACGCTTGCTGGAAAAAATATATGAACATACATGAACATATTCATTACCTCCATATTCCCTCCTTCCAATCTGATATCCAATCTTTTATGAAAATTTTTGTTATTCTCATCACTCTGCTCTTTCCTAAGTTCACTTTTAATTTCCTTCATCTACCAACCTCTGCAACTTCTCTCAGAATCTCCCAAAAGCACAGTGTCATCATCCAAAAGAAATTGTGACAACTCTCACTTTGTATTATATTCTAATCCCACCCCTCCATAACACAATCCCATCTATAAATATGTTAAACAACCATGGTGACATCACACCCCCCCATCTAATACCTACTTTTACTGGAAAATAATCTCCTCCTCTCCTACATACCCTAACCTGAGCCTCATTATTCTCATAAAAACTCTTACCTGCTTTAAGTACTTTTCTGAATCCATAAATGTAATGAAAACATCCTTAACTTTATCCAAATATTGTTCACTTACATGCTTCAATGTAAACACTTGGTCTACGTATCTCCTACCCTTCTCTTTGTTAATCTGCAATCCTACTGTCTTAAATTTAATTCTTTCAATTAGAACTCTACCATACACCTCCTCTTCCTTTAACTTTTTGTATTCTCAGCAAAATTTGTTGACAAAATCTCACCCACTCTCTCATTTGCTTTTTTACACTTCCTTGCCACTCTCTTCACCTCTCCATATACTTCACCCTCCTTATATTATTTCTACTTTGTAAAATCTCTCAATGCTGGTTTTTCTCCCTTACCACTCTACTCTGTCATTCCACCAATTGCTCCTCTTCCCTCCTGCACCTACCCTCCTATATTCAACCTCATATCTAATACGTAGTCTAACACACTGTTGGAATTACAAGCCCTATATCATATCTTGTGTACTTATTTATCCTTTTTTCCTTAAAATATGTACTACCTACTATCAAACCTCTTTCTGTACAGAGTTCAATTAAGGACCCCTATTATTGCTTACCCCTAGCACCCCAAACTTCTCTACTACACCTTCTACTACAGATTCTCCCACTTTTGCACTGAAGTCCCCCACAAAAATTATTTTCTCACTTGATTCAAAATTACCTAAATACTTGCTTAACATTTTCCAAAATCTCTCTCCTCTACACTCCTCTCTTAACCCTTTCAGGGTCGAGAGGCCCTCTCCTAAACTTGTTCTCAGGGTCGAGAATTTTTTGGAAAAAAAAAAAAAATTTCTTACGAAATGATAGAGAATCTTTTCCCGATCATAATGACACCAAAAGTATGAAATCTGATGGAAAACTTACAGAATTATGCTCTCGTAAAGTTAGCGGTCTCGCCGATGTTTACGCATTGGCGATTTCGCCCACTTTGAGCCCTATTTTCGGCCAATTCCTGTATACTAGCCGACAAAAATTATATTTATTTCGCTAGAACTCGATTTTTTTCTATCGAATGAGTACAAGAAACCACCCATTTACCAATTTCAACTATCCAATAAAGTGGTTAGAAATTGGCAATTTTGCCAATTTCACACAAATTTCAGAAGATGCCAATTTTCAAATAGGGTCCAGAATAAACAAGACAGACATTCCTGGCACTAAAATAACAAGTTCTCTGTTTGTTAGTCACGTCCCCAGGCCCCTCTTATATTTCTTTTGCTTTCCACTTTGAATTTTTATTCTTACAAAAAATAGAAGATTTACTGTTATGCAGACTACTGCATTAGTGTAGAAATGGCATAAATAATATCAGCGCACTTATGAAAGAATATTAGACTCACCAGTTGACATGTATTGGACGCTTGGCATGATTTGTTTACTTTTGAACTTTGGTAAAAATTGAACATATCTGCTACTTTGAGCTCAATTTCAAGGTACTTTTCACTGTGAAACCAATCAAAATTATTTCAATTTCTGTAATATGTCTTCCATTCTATAAAATGAGACCAGGAAAACTAGAATACAACCATAAATACCATACGCAAATACAGTGCAAATCGCTGTTTTAATCCAATAACACAAAGTTTTTTTTTCTTCATTATGCACTGTGTGCTGCAGGATTTTTTTTTATACTGCACACACTAACCACATAGACCCATTCTTTCATATGTAGGCCTACCAGCTCTCTCTCGCTAGATTTGAAGGCGCTAGAATTTAGGCGCTCTAGTACGTCAATAACCCTGGTGCATAAGCCGTACTGGTACGTCGAAAACCCTGAAAGGGTTAATATAACCTACTTTTTGTATCCCACCCTTATTTTAATCCACATAACCCTTGAATTTATAGTTAAATTTCATCTTTTCCTTCCATAGCTG